GCAACACTTTATCCGAAGTTTCATCATCATCCTTTATGAATACTCAATTTTACTGCGCCAATCTGCCTTTATTACCAGCAAGAAATGATGTTTATGCAATTAGCTCTAAAATATCACCCAGACTTCAAAGTTGATACATAATACGTACTATATCTTTATTTATATATACATATCATATGGTTACTATTATATTTTTTTCAATCATATTTTTATAAACCGCGTTTATTAAATCCAATTGTGTGAAGTGTATATTATTTTTTTTCATCATGATAATAAAAATATTCACCCATTTTTTCTATAAATATGTCAATACTATCTTTTTCGCGATCATCCCTTCATCGCATAATTTGAAATTAAATTTTCTTTTATCTTCAGTTTCTGTATTAAAATAATCATTCCACCATTATGAATGAAATTAGATATATACTCTGATTTCAAAATAATTCGAATCTTTTTCTTCATCAAAATCTTCACCGCGCTCAAATATAAAAGTAATGCTTTGATTTGAAGATTTTCCCATCATCAATTAGACACCAAAACATCCAAAAGTACATCTAAATATTTTATTGAAGATTTCAACATTATCAATGGCCAAAAGAAAAATTACCGTGATTATAAAAAATACTTTCCTGTTTGGCCAAATTTCAAGGCTTATCTGCATACCTAGGAAGACATCTTTACATTATGGAAAATGTTTTTCCTTCATTAACATCCCTTAGGAATTCTCAATATAAATATTAGAGCTCAACAAATAATTTTAAACATAGTCATAAACAATTTAGTTTTATGAAATTTATTAAAAGAGTGACGTTTCGACTTCACTCGAGACATCTTGAGACTAATTAGGAAGTTAACAAGAATATGGATATATATAGAGCTATCTATATAGTTTGAGGTATCAGATTACTGTGAATGTGTAAGTGTGATGTGATGTATTGTGTGATGTGAGTGTGATTTAAGTGTGATGTATTGTTAGGGTGAGGTGCTGAGATTAGAAAAGCTTAAGGGGATGGATGCCTTGAGTGTTAAGTGAAGGTTTTAGTTTGGAGATGAGGAGGCTTTCATGGATCATGAGGTCGAATGTGTCGGAGCAAGAAGGGATGATTTTAAAATCGTCTGGCGAAGCAGGGTGGTTGGAGGAGTTACTATGAGAAAGAATACTTTACATTAATTGGTTAGTAAAGCGTTGTCCAGTCAAGGGAGTGATCCCCAAGTGTTCCGAGATTCTGGTGTGTAAGTGGCAGATCTCAGAGACTTGGGAATTTATCCTTAAAGGGAAAAAATGAAGAGATTCGTGTGGGGGTACGAAAAACGAATCTGACATTGAGATGAGGGAAAGCAGCGTTATAGAGCCGATTGATTTGTGTGAGGATTTGTAACGAGTGACAGCGGTGAATGGGAGACAGAAATACACTATTTTCTTTGGGACACTAAGGACAGGTGGTTTCAGTTCGAGTTTTGTGTCAAGGAAACGACGGACAATGTGGTCGAACATATTAGTTGGATAGTAATTGAGTTTGTGTAGTTTTCTAGTGGTTTCAATTTGGGCATGAAAAGTCTCATAACTAGAGCAGAGTTTGAAAAAGTGGTGTAATAGGCCAGAGATTAAGTTGCGTTTGTGAGAAAGTGGGATAAAGCTGTGAAAGTTAGTGAAAAGACCGGTGAATGTGGGTTTACGATATACAGAGGTGGTGAATTTGTCGTTTGAGCGTTAAATGTCAACGTCTAAAAACGGTAGTCATCCATTATTTTTTTCTGTCTCAGAGGTAAAAGCGATGTTGGGGTGTTGATCATTGATGTATTCTAAAAAGATATATTTATTCTACAATAAAAAATAAAGGGTATTGACCTGCATGATAAACTACTTTCCTATTATACTTTTGAAATAAGCACTAGGTGATGGTTTTAAAGCAATTTCAGGCAAAATATTTGTCGAAAATGAACATCTATTTAACATAAGAAGAACCAAGTCAAGTCATTTCCATAGAGCAAACAGTCCAAAACCAGACAAAGGCAAAGTCCATGGCAGTAATGTCTCATGTGCAAAAGAAAAGGCATTCAAAGATAAAGCAGCTCAGCCATAGTAGTAGGACTTTTAAACATTCGTTATGTGGTGCATTCTATTTTTTATTTGTATCATCTAAGGTCAAGTGTTTTGAGTTCACATGTTAACCTGATTTGTTGTAAAATTTCTATAAGATCTGTTTCCAAAAATATGTCTATAATGTATGTATTAACAAAAAAATATTGTAACTAAAGACTTAAGAAAAAAGACTTAGACAGGTGGGAGAAACACCAAAGTATTAAAATGAAAATATGAAACCATGAAGTTTCGTTTCAAGAAAATATGTTAACGTTTAACAAGCCCATTAAACAAGTTTTCCTTTAAAAAAACAACGACTTTGCATGTTTGCGTAACACTTTTAATTTCTACTTTTACACTTTTCGGAGACAATGTCCATCCGTAGAGAAAGCTTAGTGTTCTATCAATTTAAACAAATGATCGCTGAGACAGTCGTGAAGATATGGATGAAGTTGACACCCAAAACGCGCGATGACGATGAAAATACCTTCGTAATCACGAGGGACAAATCTTACCTACAAGAAACTATGCGGTGTTTAACAGCAGCTACCGAATTCTGATGAGATTTTAGAATGTGTGTACAAATTCACGATGAGATAACACCATGTGGGGAAAAACGCAGAAGTTCATCAGTAACGTCATCAGAAAGATAAGAAAATCTTTCTCTTTCTGCTGCGCCCACACTTTTTTTCTTGTGGTTGAAACAGGTTGAACACACTTCAACAGTGCGGGAGACTGCAGTGTCTGTGTCTACAGGAACGAGCTGCGTGTTTCATTGATTATCTTTGATTTCATGTCACAAGACAGTGCGACACTAAATATAAACGAACGACCTTAGCGATTAATCTGCATTATAGCTGCAATCACTAATCAACCTCCATGCAAATTTTATACGGATGAACATTGTTATCAAAAAAAGGTACAAGTAAAAAATAAACGTGTTACGAAAACATGCAAAGATGTTGTTTCTTCTAGGAAAACGTGTTTAATAGGCTTGTCAAACATTAACATATTTTCTTAAAAGGTGCAAATTCCACGTCTAAAACATGCAGTAAACGACAAGGAAACGTCAAGTTTCAGACACGGCTTCAACGTTCACCGTGCTTACGTTTCCAGTATATTTACATATCAATGAGCTGAAGTGGCTAAGTAGACTGGGAATTGACGCCAAAAAATGGCGGTTAAAGGACCTCTTTCACCTGAAATGATCGCTTTGGCAGAAAAATCATATTCTCGAGCTCGCACTGATGTCTATATTTAATCATAAAGCATTTTTAAAAACCAACACGAAATCGTTTTTTGTTATTTCTTTTATAATGCCAGCACTTTAATTCTTCCATTGTTGGATATTGTGGTGTCCACAAAAGGAGCATGTCATTTTCACAGGTGAGATATTTGTTTAGTTTTGTCATCAAAAAATGAAAAGCAATTAAACTTAAAAAGCCATAAAATCCGACTGATGTTTTTCTGTTTTTTGGTTTGAAAACTCAACATACTTTTCCACTTATTTGTTGATCTAAGAAAACGTCATAGGCGTCAATCTTTCGTTAATTGGGAAGGACCATATTCATGTAATCTGTTATGCCAGGCTGATTTCTTTTTAAAGTAAAACTGTGTTGAAAAGAAATTAGCCAGGCATAACAGAATATATGAATATGATCCCCTCCCCAATTAACAGAGGATTGACGCCAATGGAAGCCGTAAATTTACCAATCTATTTGCAAAATAGTGTCCCTGAGGCAAAAAACATCCTGCTCTTTTCACTCTGATGATAGATACTATGAAGAAACCGTCACACCAGAGAGTACCCATTTATCACATATTAAATGACTCCAATTAACATTGCAGATTTTGCCAGTGTCTTTAGTTAATATAGTCATATCACTGCGTCTTCATTGCATTTATACGAGACAAACCCAGCAAAAGTTAACGGCTCTAATGTGCTTTAGTATAACTGTCCTTTGAAGTGTAGAAGAAGTATGAATGAATACGAAACAATCAGTTTATACATAGAAGCGTAACTAGAACATTAGTTGGGAGGAGGAGGGGTGTGTATACTCATATATTTAGTTGTGCACTACTGATTTCTTTTAAAAATGAATTACCTTTCAAAAGAAATCAATCGGACCTAACTGAATATATAAATACACCACCCCGTCCCCCAATTAACGTTCTAGTTACACCTGTTTATACATCAATACATTTGATTTATTGAAAATTCAAATAGATAAATATATGAGTAAAAGGATGAAATAAGACGACAAACCTTTTGGATCTAGTGTTAATTAACATTCAGATAATATGTCGATCTGTCTAATAACTAATTCTGCTGAATATTTGTTAATGTTTCATGGAATGTGTCAGGATTAAATCTTTACTTTCAACAAATATTGAATTTAAATATACTTAATTCGACAATACAACGCTTTTCTAATTAAAATATACTTTGCCTCTGCGATAAACACGATGGAAGACACAGTTCCTAGCATTTAGTTTTTTTTCAATTCTTAAAGACCATTATATATCCTCCCTGTTTGAAGTGCGTATGACCCAATTTTTTTATTTCATTATATGACTGTAGAAACAACAAATAAAAACATTCAGTGACGTTTTTTGAGTACTTATTTTTTATAAGAAGGAATTCTGCACTAGAAATCTGTCCTTAAACGAGATTTTTACATTGAAAGTGCAAATAAAGACAGCTGATTTTGAGGAAGTCTCAATTCTGGATGATTCGGAATATAATTATTATCTTGCTTAATATATTATTATTGAAACTAAAACAAAGCAGACTGCGAATAATGATGGTGAAAGTGCTTAGACAAACGTTGAACTCGGGAGTAAAGGGCCTTAGCTGACAAAGAATGGCAAAAAAACTCATAAAAAACGCAAGAAGAAAACTAATGACGACTGCAAATTTAAAGGACAACGTGTTAGGAAATGAAAGCCTTAAATCACAAAATAATGGCAATAAATTGACGAATGACGCTCAAATGAGATAGAAAGGGCTTATCTTATGACGCTTTTTAAAAGTAAAAACGTATCACTTGCCCTTACCAGCCGCATCTGTCAATTGAATATGAGAAAAATGCCAATCATGTTCAACTTATTTAAATGTATATATTATTCAACGCAATGTTTTGTTAACCATGACATATCCACTACCCTGTTTATACTTAACAAAACACAAATATATAAACAACCATCTACATCATGAAACGGGAACCCTATTTTCTTTAGCCCACTTCTTCATAGTGCGGACGATATATTCCACTTGAGGGTTACCAGTACTACGTAACAGCTGTAACACATCGCGTAATGTTTCCCTGATAAAAATGAAAAAGTATGATATGTGTTTTGCAATGAAAATAAATGGGAAGTTGAACAATGCATGAAAAACATGCTCCAACAAAACGCCATCTTATAAATGGCACTTAGCAAAGTCCTACATCTTAAATTATGCCATCACATGACTGGAAAACAGCAGATAAGTTAACACGTAAGTGGTACATCCATTATATCTTTAGGGCTTTCTATCTCAGAGACACATAGATACACAACTACTACTTCACATTTCTGACGTGAACTGCTCAGTCGTATCAAATATCGATAATAATATTGGACGTCATTTGGTCCACGAATATAAAATTCACCATCAAACAATAGTGACATATTCGTAAAAAAGTGACATGAAAAGTATAGCGACAAAATGGGCAACGGGAAGCTATATATCAATGAAGTTTATTCACCTTGGCTCGTGCCCAGCAATAATTTGTTGAAATATACCCACGCACGCGCCACGTTTGCCTTCCCAGTATTCAGGATTGGGATCTAACCTTTCGAGAACGTCAAAGGCCTTTGCAGCATAATAAAAATGACCCATCTAAAAGATTGTTGAAGGAAATATGTATGTGCAAAAGAATTCATCGTCAGTCCAAAGCTACGGAAACGCGACTTAATTAGTCTCGCTATCAAAATTGTTAAGCAAAATTAAAGCTGCTCCGTGAAATAATGAATTAAAAAAGTTGGACTAACGTCAAGAAGCAACTTTAACCTAACACTTTCGGGCAAAAACTTTCTCAATGTAATAATTTCATTTTAAGAGCCTTTCAAACAGATAAACTACGTACACTACAGGGCTTAATAGTTGGCCAGTCTCCAAAATTTGTTTTGCATTCATCGTTTATTTTTACCTTGTAACAGTCGTTGGCAATCAGTTGGAGGAGGCTAAATGATTCACCAGAAGTCTCCATTTTCAGGTACAATTCCCAAGCTAATCTTGCTTTTTGGTTCATAATGTCTGTTGTAAATGATAAAAAATTACAGACGATTTACAAAAATTCGCTTATAGTTGGAGTAGTAATACACATGGGGGTACGAATCCATAAAAAGTTTACTTTTTATGTATTCGAATCCCCCATGTGTATTATTACTACAACCGTGGGTATAAAGTCATTGTTTCAAAGGGGGGGTAAAAAACTCGAGTTTACAATCTATCGTTTAAAATATGGAATCTATATGTTTTTAAAAATATTCTTTAATAATCAAGTGTTAATAATCAAGTGTTAATAAAGCATCTTTTTAAATCGTTGTGTCGGGCGATAAATTTCAGGCAACTAAGCCTGAAATTTTGAGCGCAACAATGTCATAGATGCTCTTTACAAAATATGGAATCTATATGTTTTTTTAATTTGTCTGTCAAGCGAGTGTCATATAATTTTTGTTAAAATTGTTTTTAATAAACAGTTATGTGATATGTAGTCAAACATGAGGAGCAGGTATGTATGATTTTACTCTAACAGAGGCCCACGCTACATGCTTACTACACATTATAACTGTATATTAAAATAAGTTTTAATTATCATTTAAATAATGACCATAAGCTCTAGTAGTTATACCATCATCTAATATATACCGTTTATCATCAAAACAGCTAAGTGATACTTTATTAATTTCATAACTACTAAGTTGATGGTTTACACTTCTAATAGTTTTCATTGTATGATGTATTTGTTTATTTTCAAATAGTGTTTGTTTATAGTCTTCATGTTTTATTTTGTTTTTAATAATATTTTTCTTAATTCCTTTAGCTTTCTTATCTCCTTTATTATTATCTTTAATATAACTATACATTTTAGATCGAAGTCCAATAAACTCTTTAATTATATTTCCAGAAGCTTCATCTTTCATTTTACCAATAACTTTTTTATTAGTATTATCATAATATTTATGGTATTTATCATAATCACTATTATCAAATTTATCTTTATCAACCCAAAAATCTTGATAGACATCTTCAGTTTCGATTTCATATATTAGACTATCTGTGTCTGTGAAAAGAAGTTTAGCTTTATCACCATATTTATTCTTGATATAATTGTAATGAAAATCGTACATTAATACTTTAGATAAATCTAAGATGCACATACCCACATATGCTGGCCTATTAAGGGTTAGTGTTTCTTTGATTTTATGCACAGCCACAAGATTCTCATTGAATATTTTACTACTTACATAAGTAGGTTTTGAAGCTAATTTTAATAATTTATCTTTATTAGTTACTAGTCTAACATCTACTCTTTTCGTAAGTTTTCCATCGTCTTACCAAAACACTGTTATTCATGAGTTTGAAGAAGTCTTTTCAAAAGAATTTTTGCATTAGTTCTTTTTGAGTATTAAAGTCTATGTATTTTTTCAACCATGGAGATTGATTAAATTCAAGTACTCTATGTACTTTTTAATTTTAACCCGAGATCTAAGTATAGTTGAAGATTTCTATAATGCAGCACATACTTATCTTTATTTTGTAATGTAGGTATTAATTTTGAAACTAAACCTGTTGATATATTGTAATTAGAAGCAATTGTCTTACAATATTTTGATAACATGTCGCTAGTTACCTTAATTTTTTCGGGTGCAACAGGATAATCGTTATGTATATCATGTAGTTCTTCAGTGTATTCTAAATCAACTTCTAAAATTAGACCTTTTTTATTATCTTCTTTATATGTGGCTAAATTTATGTTGTTAATCTGTTTTTCAGTTAACCATTTGAAACCACCAGTAGGTAAGTATTGTGACATAGCCCATCCATATAAATTGTTAGCGTCTAAATACATTAAATACTTCGATGGCTTCTTATTATCAAATGTTTTCATATACTTGTTATTAGCCTTACCATATCGGTTAGAAATATAAGAAACACCTCCTCTCATACCCTTTTCAATGAATTGAAACATATCAATATCTGTCATTAATTCTAATTTAATATCTGTCATCTTTAACATAGCATCCCATGAAAGACCAGGACTAGTGAAATAATGACATGGGTCTAAGTTATAGTATTCAAGACATGTTTTTCGAAAGTTTTCGAATACATCAGCTAATAACAAAACGTCTGATTTTAAATACAAATCGTGGTAATCACCCATGTTTTTAAGATTGAATGTATTCCAAACATTTTGAGCATGCTTATAAGAATCATCTGATATATTCTCATCAGTAAGAATACTATAAAAGTCTTTTTTTGAAGGCAACCCCTCATCAAACTTTTTAAAGCTATCCATATAATCATATGGGTAAATACCTTTTTGTGTCATTAAATTAAGTTTTTCGCCTTTAAACTGATTAGAGGTATATTTAAATGATTCTTTAGGTAAATTACTAACAAGCTTTTCTAAACTAGAGCTCATAAATTGAAAACTATCAAGAAATGTTAAATGGTTTCCTAACATAAAAGCCATATACTTTTCCATATTATTAGGTATAGCATTTATATTCATCTGTGTTTCTTCACCTTTTTTGTTTTTGTATGTATGCTTATTAACAATAGCTCCGATCTCTTGCATTATGAAGTGACTGTCATATCCCCGCAGATTGTGAAATATTACTGGGATCTTTAATTTATTATAGTCTATTCTAAGTTTTAAGTTACAATCTTGATGTGCCGAGCCTCTGTATTTGCCAGTGATATGACAATGGTCTCGAACTCGAATATCTTTGTTAGTATATTTTTTGTTACATATGTGACATTCATCGGCTTTTTTAAAATCTTCTTCATCATCAGAGGTCATTTTTAATGGTTTATTAAAGTGGGTTTTCATAATATTTTTACAATATTTAACTTCTTTCAACATAGCTTCCATAAATTTGTAAACAGCTTTTCACCTCTATATAGTTGAATTTTTTGTAAATTTATCATCATAACAACAAACAACTTTATATCCATAACCACAGTCTATGTGCTTTTGATAGGCTTCGGTGAATGATTTTTTATTATTCTGATTACAACCAGATATCTTTTCTGTAATAGCCTCAAAGTCTGCATATATAACAAATGGTACTGGTTGTTGCTTATGATAGTTGTTGAATTTAAGTATGTTGTTATTTTTATCAGGCATTCTTATTGATTGTATACCATTTATTAATATACAGTTTTCTATATGGTTATTTAATATTTTTTCAGAACTAAAACATTGAAGACAGCGCATACAAAAGTGTTTTCTTTCTTTATGCTTTGTTTGATTGTACATAAATGCATTAAAATTTTTTATTAGAATATAATGTTTGTTTTCATTATCAGTTATTAATAGTAGTTCCATATGGTCTTTAAATTTTTCTTTTGATATATAAATGGGGTATGGTTGCTTATTTTCATAACCGAATACATTAATGTTAATTTTGTTTTGCTTTTCGATTTTATTATATTGTTTAACAGTCACTGGAAATTCAATCCCAGAGTAGTCTAATTTGTTAATATATTCCTTATCAGATTTTTTATTCTATGGGTGTTTATTTTGTGGGTTTAAATAACGAATATGGCACCACCTAAAACATTCATTATCTGTATTTTGATATTAATTAATCCTTTTTTAGAGTTTTTAAGTTCTTGTGGTAAATTAATATATGAAGATCCTTGTAATGGCTTGTATTTAACAACATTAAGATAATGATTATCTATAGATTTAATAACCCATGAACCTTCTTGATTAAATTTACTAATTATATTTAATATATTTTGTTTTGAAATTTGTAATGATTCATTAATATTTTCATTATTTATAATTGTTAAAGCTTGACTGTTAAAATAAGCAGTTTCTATCATATGATCAACATCACCACTATTTTAATTTTAATTTTTCAAATGTAATCTTAAGCGTTTCAACAAATTTTCATTACTTCTAATATTTGTTTAATATAATATGTAAGATATTTCTAGTGTTTTGTGTATTAATGGATTTTATTGTTAATAATCTAATTATATGATTTAGTAAATCCTTTAAGAGCATTGTTTGTTTCTTTTATTTTAACTCTTTTTGTTGGTATTGGTTTTTTATTTTTATCTGATAGCATCTGTGTATTATTCTCATACTCTTTAACCATATCTTTTACACTCTTTCTTGGTTTTGGGACTGGTGTTAATACTTTGATTAATTCGTTTTTTCTAAGTTTATAATAACCTTTAACCTTTTTTTCTTTAGCAATAACTTTTAACTGTTGCACAGTCATTTGTTTGATATTGGATTGTGATAGTACTTTTTGTACTGGTTTGGAAATTGAAGTATTATTACCAACCACGGCTTTGATTTAATATTAAATTAATTAAATCGTCTTTAGTCAACTTTTGAAGTTCATCTTTTTTCATATTAGGCATACTATATAAAATACTCATGTCTTTAAGTACTTTATTCATATTAGGCATATTATATAATATAGGTTTGTCTTTAAGTACCTTTCGATTTAAATAATCTCTATTCATATATATACTATATATTTTATTTTATTTTTTTAAACGCACTAATTTTAATTATAGAAATAAATCTATATTTAAAACTTTTTATAAAATAATTAAATTAATCTATTTAACTTTTGAGTGTTTTTAAATATTTTGTAAATATTCTCTTAATTTAGCTTTAGTTTTATTGTGTTGGGTAACATTCCTGGTTCAAGACCGAAATACCATGGTATGAAACCCTTCTCATGTATCCAGATCACTTTGTTTAATTTTTCTCTAATAATTTTATTATCAAGAGCTTCTTGTACTGTTGTATTATTATAATAGTAGTGAAGTTCTTGTTTATGATCATTAGTTTTAAATATTAATAACCTTAAATGTTTATGATGTTCAACTAATTTTAATTGATGTTTATTTGCTTTTGTAATTAGTGTATGTATAAATGTTGGGAGATCTTTACATTTTTCATATCCTGTAGAATCAGGTGGATAATGTAATAATTTTGTTGGTAAAGCATCTATGTATATAAAAACTAAATTTAGAATATAAATCTTTATCAACCATTC